TTGAGCTCCAAGCGGCGCTCTTCAGCAAGGAGACGCCAGGCTCCAAGAACTGTGGCCCCCAAACCACAGCTGAAATCTAGGTCAGGTAAACACAAATGACATTCAGCTGCCAGGGCTTCCTTATGCTTTTCTATCTTCCTCCCTGGGTCCTCTTGTCCTGGAATGACACTCCCTTCCCTTGGGGCCCTGGCCACACCCCACAAGCCCAGCTCACAGCTGCCACAGATGGGCCCCAGCCACTCCAGCTGTTGGGCCCAATCTTCATGTCATGTCCTGGGATGTGTGGGTGGAAGTGGATTCTGTTCTATCTCAGCTCCTTCAAGCAAGGTCCCAAGGGCGAGAGAGAGAGAGAGAGAGAGAGAGAGAGAGAGAGAGAGAGAGAAGAGAAGAGGGGGCTGCAGCAGCAAGAACAGGAAGAGGTGAGAGAGGCCTGATCTACTGGAATGGCAAGGGGAGGTTGGGGGGGTGGGGTGGGGAGCACTTGGGGACTAGAGCCATGGTGGACAGAGCTGGGAGGGAGGGCAAGAAAGGAATACTCCCCCTCAGGATCCCTCAAAGGATTGGAACCTGAGAGGTTCAAAGGCAAAAGGACAGATTTTGGTATTGGAGGAACTGAGTTTTGAGACGCCCTAGGAGTTTGTCTCTGTGTCCAAAATAGGAGCAGGACATTGGCTTGTGCACTTACCTGCCTTGGGGAGATAGGAGGAACAGGCCCGGATGTCTGTGTTGTTTTGTTTGCTGGGGGTGCCTGCGTCTCTAACGCTGTGCGTGTGCCTGTGTGGGTGTACAGTTCTGTGTGCTGCCTAGAGGGAAGGGAGCTAATGGTTATGAAGTGTCTCCCCAGCGGCAGCCACAGTGCTCAGAGTTTTACTTATGTTTTCTCATAATCCTCCCAACAGCACTGTGAGGTAGGTATTTTAATCTCCATTTTACAGCAGAGAAGACAGGCTCCGTGAAGCTGAGTAATTTGCCCAAGGTCACATGGCAAATAAATGTGTGTCTCTTGAATCTGCTTGGTTCCAGGGCCTGTGCTCTTTTTGCTTTGCTGTCCAGTGTTTTGAGTCAGATGCAGGACTTCTTGTGGTCAAAAGGCTAGGGCAGTGGTTCTCAACCTTCCTAATGCCGCGACCCTTTAAGACAGTCCCTCATGTTGTGGTGACCCCCAACCATAAAATTGTTTTCGTTGCTACTTCATAACTGTAATGTTGCTACTGTTATGAATCGTAATGTAAATATCTGATCTGCAGGATGTTCTTAGGCAACCCCTGTGAAAGTGTCGTTCGACCGCCAAAGGGGCCGCGACCCACAGGTTGAGGACCGCTGGTCTAGGACAACACTATGAAGAGTATCTGATTGTCTCACCACCGTGCTGCCCCTGGGCACCATACAGAGCAGCACCGACGCTCTATCCACTGAGCAAAACCGGTTTCGGCAAGGCCGGAGCACCTTGCACAAAGCTGAAAAGGCACTGTCCAAGGTGCTCCAGGCAAGCCCCAGGAGAGGACCTTCACCAAGGCAAGTCCAAGGTCACTATGCATAGGCTGGATCAGTGTATCATAAGACTGGTCCTCCATCCATGCCCTGCTGGTCCCCCCATTGGTGCTTCCCCCACTGGCTTGGGCTCTTTCTGGGAAGGGTTCTCTATATTTGAGCCTGGTTTCTTCGGAACTTCCAGTTGGCTCAGCCTTGCTTGGGCTGACTACACATGCCCGTGCCCCCATGTATCTGAACCATACTCCCTCTGTGAGGGGCACCTCCACCCGCCCAGTCACCAGGTTGGAAATTTCCAAGCTATCTGGGACATCTGCCTCTTATTTCCCACAGCTTGTCATCAAGCCCACTCACCTTCAAATAACTCTGGAGTCCATCCCCTCCTCTCCATCCCCCCTGGGTGGTGGCTGAGCTCAGTCCTTATCCCCCCTCACTTGGATTTCCTTGCTTCTAGTGTATCCTCCCAGCAAGGGCTGAGGAAGACATGGATTGGGGTTGAGGAAAGTGTAGGCCTCTGCAGTGACCTCTCTTCCTCTGCCTAGCCCAAGGTCCAAGGCGAACAGCAGTGTTGGGACCTGGTGTTGGGGGCTGCAACTCCTGGGATGACCCTTCTTGCATCATTAGGGTGCCCATGGCTCACACCTTGGCGCTGGGCCTGGGCCTGTCCCTCAAACCTGGCCGATGTGCTCTTCATGCTCACGCTGCCACTCTGGCTCAACTATTACCTGGGGTGGTCTTTTACCTGCCCACTTATATGGCCATGGCTTTCGCCCAAACTCATCAGCATGTGCTGCTGCAGCCCAGACCCAGGGCGGCCACTGGCCCCGCCCACACCGCTGCCTGGCTGCTCCCCCTCAACCGACACAGCCTTCCTGCTGGTGCATGTGAGCCTGTTGCACCAGCGTGCGGCCAGGACCATGGTGCTGGGGCTTCTGTTCATCTTTGCCCTCTGCCTAGCGCCCTACTCCTACTGCTGGCTCCTTGGGTGGCCCGGCAGGAGGGTGTCATGGCGCTTGACGTCCTGCACACCTTTATCCTGTAGCTGCTGAGCCTCAGCAGCTGCCTGGACCCGCTGATCTACTGCTTCTCCGTGCCCAGCTTCCCCCAGGACTCCTGGATGCTGAGCTGCCACCGGGAGTCGGGAGTCGGGGGAGAGGGGAGACTGAAGGGGAAGCCTCCTCCTTGGCCTCCCTGCCTGCTTCACCCCGGCCACCCTCCCAGGGGAACTCTGGCTACAGAAAGCTCTTTGGAAGAACCTAGATTTTCATTCTGATGCCACCACATACACTAGGTCCCTAGCTGGAGCATGGGCCTCCTCTGTAAAAAGGGAGAGAACATTCTTTGGAACACTAGTGTTCCCTAGACTTTGCCAACTTTTGGATACAAAAAATATGCCATTAAAAAAAAAATCTCTTGGGATAAAACTCAAGTCCTTAACATGGCCTGCAAAGTTCTGCCTGAGCTGGCTCCTGCTTCTTACCTGGCCTCCGCCTCTTCCACTCTGCCCCCTCCACCGGCTCAGTCACCCTCTCAGGCCCTGGAACAGGCCAGTTTCCTGAGCTCCAAGGCCTTTGCACCTACGACCAGGAGTGATGTCCTTCCCTTTCCTTCACTAAGTTAGTTCCTCTTCATTCTCACTTCCTTATAGCCTGTCTTGACAAGCAACACACACACACACACACACACACACACACACACACACACACACACGACTGGGTTAGATCTGATTACTCCTTCATAGCTTTTTTCACAATTGTAATCAAGCAATTAATTGGGTAATTCATTGGTTTACTTTTCTTTCTCTCTTGCCAGAGTGCATTTATGTTGATCCATAAGAAGTGCCATCTTTTGTAGATCCAAAAGGTTGCATATTGGCAATTTTATTTTTATCCAGTTTAACTTAATAAATTTCATGCTTATCTTATTCTTGGATGTATCCCCTGTGCTCTCTACTGTAAGACCTCAGTGTACCGGAAGAATGAAAGAAACCCGAATATTAAGTTAAAATACTCAACGACTCACTCAGACATTCCAGTCTCTGGTAGATTTTCCTCAAGTGTTTCTGGGAGTCTCCAAGTGTGTATGATCCGGATGCATTCCTGGCCAGTCCTGCTGACTGCTTCCTTCTACTGTTGTTGGATACCTGCAACTCTGTCATCACCTCCACTGTGCCAAGACTCTTATACCAAGACTTGGTGGTAACCGAGTTGGAGATCCATCCCGCTATTGGCTGGGACTGCCATCTGCCAGACTTGCTGCTTTTTGCTTTGGCTGAGCCGAGACTCTGTCACTGGGTGCAAATCCCTGCCAATGGCTCTGGCCACCTGTGCTTTCCCTCTTAATGTGTTGATGACTCAGGAGTTGGCTTCAGGTGCAGAGGGAACCACTGCTCCCCTCAGCCATATTACCAGGTCTCAGCAAGAATGCTTGGGTCGCAAAGAGTTAGAGCTTACTGAATGCGAGCAGCATGTTCTTGTTGCCAAGTTGGCTGGGAGGGTCCACCAATCAGCCACCATGTCTCATTGACCTTCATGCCCTACAGCTGAATTTGCCTTCTGATGATAAACCTGACAAATTCCCTCTTTTCTTTTTGGTAAACTAACTTACATTGGTTTCTTATTCCTTCTTTAAATTTTTTCCTTACGTTTTAATAGTGATACATGTTCATGAAAATAAATTCAAAGCAGTAGAGGTAAGTGTAAAATATCAAATAAAGGTCCTCAGTGGTAGCCATTGTTCACAGTTTCTCTTTTTTTAAATATATATTTTATTGATTTCAGAGAGAAAGGAAGAGGGAGAGAGAGAGAGAGATAGAAACATCAATGATGAGAGAGAATCATTGATTAGCTGCCTCCTGTATGCCTCCTACTGGGGATCGAGTCTGCAACCAGGGCATGTGTCCTGACCAGAAATCGAACCGTGACCTCTTGGTTCAGAGGTTGATGCTCAACCACAGAACTACACTGGCCAAGCTGTTCACAGTTTCTTATGTATATATTTCCAGATGTCTTCTATTCCAGTATGAATATATGTATAGTCAGTTTTCTTTAAAAATTCACAAATGGGGTAATATTACAAGTCTCTTCTGCACTTTTCTCATTTACCATATCTTATACATCTTTTTATATCAGCACATATAGATATCTACCTCATTCTTTTTAATAGTCACAGAGTATTTATTTTTAACTGAATTTTTTTCTTTATTGTTGGGCATTTGTTTCTATTGTTTTACTGTAGTAAACAAAGCTACAATGAATGTTCTTGTCCACAAATCTTTGCATACTTGAAAATCCATAGAATAAATTCCTGGCAATGTAATTGCTGTGTCAAGGAGTGTGTGTGCACACTTAAGTTGTTTTAATTACATCACCTAATTGCCTCCCAAAATGCTGCACCAATTACACACCCATCTACAGCATGTTTCTGTTTTACACCTCCTCACCAGGACTGGGCATAGTCACCTGCCTCCTTCCAGAATCTAGACTCC